AGAACACGAAGTGGACAAACTAGATAGGTAGGGAGATTTTCGCACAGTGTGTAGCAACAGTAAATAGTTGCGTTAGTGTAACATAAATGAAAATCATCTTACGAATGGAGACAAATTAGAATCTTAAGTAACAAAGATACAGAAAGATTCAAAATAACCGAACATATTGCACGGACGCAATAGTAAATCGACCGGAAAACAGCTAGCCGAATACGGTGAAAATACAGGATGCAAGATCCGAGAGGCCATCAATAACCCGACTGAAGAAAATTTAATTAACGAGAGACTGGAAGATTAAAGAATTGGCTGAAACTATGCGTATTCCGCAGTCAAAAAGTCCGAGAAGATCAGGAAGCAGCAAGAACAGCAAAGAGGACTAGATCAAAGAAGTATTATATACGGAAAAAAAGTAATCGCATGTAAAAGGCCGCCAAGAGACAATATGAAATTAAAAGAATATGTCTGCAATGAGTTCGGTTAAATCAAGTAAACAATAGTAGCACCTATAAGGTTACATACAAAGTATTAACGAATAGGATAGTAAAAACCACCACGGAAATTTGGCACTATAAATAAAAGTGTGAAGCTAGTTGTACGAGAATTCCACAAGAAGATGCGGTAAGACCCATAGTCACAACAGACGGGTTTGAACGTGTAAGTGTTCAATGGACTAGAGGAATGACCGCAAGATTTAGGCACAATACAGCCCGAACTGAGATAAGGATAATTAACGTGTTTTGCCAGTCTGTCATCTAGCTTGATAAGCATGCCTCTGGAGGCTTGCTCACGTGATAACAAGCGCCTGGGACAAATCATGGAAAATAACGCCTCGAGTAAACTGTACAAGTTGGCGGTGGACGAGTGAAATCACCGAACTGGAGAGATAAGGGACGAATCGTCAGGAGCACAAGGAAAACTCTAAGAGTAATTCGATAAAATTAGATTGCTGATTTAAAGAGCCAAGGTGAATCAACCTTTCTGCTAGAATGTGAGGAAAGAGAAAACCGGTGATAAATGCGTTAAAGCTAAATCCACCCAAACCTTTTGAGTATGCAAAATTTAAAAAAATTAAAAGCTGTGATATTTAAGAGGGATAGGTAGATGCACCAAGAGACAACTGTTCAGCATAAAGTTGGTTGCGATAGGCCTCAATTGTTCCTGACGAATTCTAGCTTGATGCTAAGAATGGCAAGGCTAAATGACCGCCAACTACGATGCTGGAGAAACGTCGCCTGGTAATGTATCAGGTCTACGGTCCAACGCTGACCACTATGGCAGAGAATTCCGGACAATTGGTGTCATCTAGATAATCGTGGCAAGGCGACTAGGTTATGGAATGGAGGAAAAACCACGCCTGGATTCTAATTCAGCTTAACCAGCCATCTTTTTCCTGCCTTTAAATAATATTCCACTAACATTAAACCCTTTCCATCATGGCCGACAAAAGACTTTCGAAAAAAGGATACTAAGATTGACAATAAAGTGAAAAAAATGTGAAGCACACAAAGTTTGCTATATAAAAGTCCCTGAAATAGCATGCTCATAATTGAGTGATGAAGTGAGTAAGAAACAAGACCAGCGAATTCTGGCAATTGTTTTGCAACCGGCACAATGAAAATCTTGAATTCATAAAGTCCAACTCCCATTCGTTACTTGGCAATTCGATCAGCAACGGCATCGAGAAAGTCGGAAGTAGTTAAATAGTGCTCAGGGCGTAGCCGATCGGCACCATGAATACAATTTGCTAGGTCCTTAGTCATATGTCCAGCCTCAACTGTTTCTATGCAAGCTGCTTCCAGTCGTCGACAAAACCTGACGGGATAAATAATAAGGTATAAGTCAGTTTGATAAAATATTCGAAATAGAGCAAGTAAATAAATTAAGCTCAAATAAGCCAGCTTAAAGGTCAGAACCGAGATATTATTTGCCTAACGCTTATCAACATTTTTTTATAATAATGAGTCATCCTGAATAAAGTTTAAATGAGGTAAAAGGCACGCAGACCTAAAGCTAAAATATATAACATATACAGAAACCGAATACAAATATAGAAATGAAGAAAGGGGAGAGTATAAAATAAAAGAAACTTAAGAATAGGGGCTATTATTCATCTGATATCATAAACTTCATGACTTCAGGTTGTCCTCAAACGATATTATCCAACTATAAATTTATAAACTTTATGAGCTAGGCACCTGTTCAAATCTCGGTTATCATCAAGCAGAGCGCGATGAGAGAGCCCGCGCGTCCATGCAAACACACTGGCAATCGGATTAGTACTGGTAGGCCGGCCTGCCTGATGCTCGCGGTAATGACGCGTCACAGTGCCATGTGCTGCTTCCGCTTCCAAAGTCCTACCATCTGGGCACATTAACACTGAGGTCATCAACCCAAGAGATCCAAATCCTGCAGTTTGATAGAGGCAAGAAAAAAGATCAAGGAAAGAATATAAGAGTAAGTTGACACATAGAGACTGAGCATATCAAGTGGAGCTAGTATAGAAGATAAGGATAGAGCTGGAATAACTAGTCAAGCGAAGGAGATGAACTATAAATTCTTGTAGCAGACTTATCTGGTGGCTAAAGTAAACCCAAGTATCATGCAAACTAAATAATACATGGATAAAAAATGGTCGTAGTTGGAATAAGTTAACTTGACAGGTACTATTTTTTTACATGTCAGCTATTTTGAATAAAGTTCGCATCACATGATGGATTCTAATTTGATACGCCAAACAAATTCCATATCAAATTATAACAGGATTGCAGGCTAGCAGATAAGATTCATCTATAACGTATATGAAAGCGAAATATTCGCTATAAAGCCTAATAATTTGGCTTAAGAATTGCGAAAACGAATTTAAAACTATGGTATAATATAGATAAGCATTAAATCAAGAAAAACAGAGACTCTCGGTAATATTACTTAAAAGATTAAGCAAGCCAAGTCAGTTGGATTGTTCTATTTCGAGAAAAAGGTTTTAAATGTAAATACTATGAATAGAAGAGAATGATCTAGCCATTTTAGAAGACTACCGGACTCTTATAGATGAAAGGCTGAGTTAAGAAGAATCTCATTAATATAACTCGACTTGGCCTTTTGAAAAAAGTCCTGCTGGGCTGTGATACGAGGGCCTCTTCGCAGAATCCAATAGTTTACATTCCAAGATAATCCCACGTTTTCGGTGGGGGGAATTTAAGAAACAATTTCATCAAATTTTCCCGTAGAAATAAAAGGCCCAGCCACACGAAATGTCTTATAGACGTTTAAGTCAATCTGGAGGCTACTACACTTATATTTAGTTTAGATTTTCCCCCTCCATAACTTTTTATTCGTAATCCATAAAAAATATCGAAAATATGAAGACCAAGATGGTGTGGTCTTTTTTATGGTCGCAGTCTCCTTCCATTGTATAGAAGTTGT